TTTGAGCCACAGGAACATGGAGCAGGGAGTCATGGTGGCCAAGGAGAGCCACCAGCCTCCAGTAGCCAGGCCGCTTCGGTGCACCACATCCTTGCTCGTTTTCTCTGTTCCCTGCGTCTGTTTAGTGGGTCCCACCACCACTGGTGGCCAGGTGGGTTTGAGGACAGTGCGTGCGCCTTGGTATGTATCCCAGGGCACAGCGTCAATTGTGAGGAAAAGGAATTACTGTATTTTTGTGAGTGAGTTTACTTTGTTCCTTGCGGACTTTCATTTGGGGTAGTGAGCTCTGTTTTGTCCCTGACACCCCTCTATGGGGTCAGACAATCCCAGCACCTTGCACTGAGCCATGTCATGGGAGCTGAGTGGAGCCATTGGTCCTTGATTCACAAGATGGGTCACTGCTGACGCTTCCATTGGCTCTGTCCTCAGATCATGTCAGGACAAGCAGTTCTGTGCCCAGACCCTGACAGTCAACCCCAGCTCAAGATACTGGTGATGTCCCTTGGTGTTACAAGTGACGTGGGCTCATCTAAGAGTTTGGTGGGTTGAGCTCACCTTGTAATGCTAGAGAGTAAAGGGCTGTTGATCTGCTCCCAGAAAGATTAAAGCCAGGAAAACCCTATGGGACTGTCCCACTCTGACACACGTGGAGTTGCCACGAGTTGGAATGAACTGAAGGACCATTTTTTTTTTTTTAAAAAGATGTTTGAAATCTGAGGTGTTTCTATCCAAGTTTTCCTGCCTCTCTGAGCACTGACTAACCAGATCCGACTGGTCGTCGAGTCAGTCCTGGCTCACAGTGACCCCTGTGCCAGAATGGAAGTGTGCTGCCCATGGCTTTCCATGGCTGTGACCGTTCCGAAGGCTATAGTCAGGGCTCTCTCCCAAAGCCCTGTCCTCAAACCTGCCTGGCCACCAGTGGTGGTGGGACCCATTAAACAGACACAGGGAACAGAGAGAACAAGCAAGGATGTGGTGCACCGAAGCGGCCTGGCTACTGGAGGCTGGTGGGTCTCGTTGGCCACCATGACTTTACCGCCATCATACGTGTGGCTAGGAGTCCCTGGGTGACAACCATGGTTATGTACTCAGTTGAGCTACTATCAGAAAAGTTGGTTGCATTCAAGCCACCAACTTCAGTGAATAGTGGAGCGCTTAATTGTTTCATGACATCTAGTGCAAACTCTAAGTTCCCACCAAAATCCAAGCACCCCTCCTCATAGCCAAGGGAACCCGTACCTCTATCTTGATGTCCTTGATGTTTGGAGTGCTCATGCCCAGCCAAGAATAATGGGGACATAAATAGCAAAGAAAATGCAATGATTAAGTTTTCAGTCTCTTTTTGCAATAAGTAAAATATTTTTCCTTCATTCAAATGATCTATGAGATGACTCACTTGACAGACCTGTTAACATATATGTTAAATCTGAGGATTGATGGAGCTCAGTGGACGTGATCTTGGCCTTCACTCTCTTCCACAGTAAAGTGAACAGAAACCTTTCATCAAAGATGCACATAAATTACTGTCAGTAGATTTCCCAGTAGGAATAAGAAGCTCACGTTGAGGCAAAACCTACGTGGGATAATTTAACTCAGTCAAGGGGACCGAGGAATGCTCCCGAAAAGTGTGTGTTTCAGGGAAGCAGAGGAGAATTCCAGAAGCTAGGTGACTGTCATAGCTGGGCCGCTACAGACGTGAACAGCGGAAGGTAATAGTACGTGAATTTGCTGAGTTACCATTTCTCTCTCCACAGTGGACACGACGTTGGATGCTGACACAGCCCACAATCTCCTCGTCATTTCTGAGGACCTGAGGAGCGTCCGATGTGGGTCAGTCAAGCAGAAGCTGAAAGAACACACGGAGAGGTTCAGTCAATCCATCTGTGTCCTGGGCTCCTCTCGGTTCACCTCTGGCCGCCACTACTGGGAGGTGGATGTGGGAACGAGCCAAGAATGGGATGTGGGCGTTTGCAGAGAGTCCATTAACCGACAAGAGAAGATCATCATGTCTACAGACCGTGGCTTCTGGATTCTGAGCTGGAGGGAGGGCTGGTACTTCTCAGCCAGTACGACACCTCCAGTAGCCCTCTTGGTGAGCCTCCCGTTACGCCGAGTGGGCGTTTTCCTGGATTTGGACATTGGAAACCTTTCCTTTTGTAACGTCGGTGATGGATCCCATATCTTCACATTCACCAAGATTTCTGCTTCCGAGCCCCTCCGCCCTTTCTTTGGTCCTTCCATTCCAAGGCCTGGTGATCACAGCTCTCTGAGTATCTGTCCTGTGGTGGTTCCAAGCATCCCATCGGAACTCAAGACAGACTAATGCCCCAGGTCAACAAGGGCCATTGATTGAGAAGGCCTTTGTACCCATGGCTCTGATCTTTTCTGCTTGGTATACATTCGACGACGTCATAGTATGCAAATACGCAACATTTTATAAAGTATGAACACAAATCAATTTGTATAGTTATAAAATAAATGGCATTTTGAAATTAAATATTGTCATGGTTGTCCTCTTTTTGTTTTATGTTGCTCTTTCTGTTTCTATAACTATATTCAAGGTTCTTGAGTGGGCTAAATGGTTTGTACTCCATCACTACTTAAAGGTTGGTGGTTTGAGACCATTCAAGTGGTGCTGTGGAAGAAAGCCCTGGCAATTTGCTTTCAGAGAGATTACAGCCAAGACGACCCTATGCAGCTGAGTGCTCTTCTCCGTAACACACATGAGCCGTGACTCAGAATGGGCTCGACAGCAGCAGGTTTGGTTTGGGTTTAACAACTATTAACGGAGGTCCCAGATTAATTTCAATTTCTTTATTACTGTAGGGTTCACTTAGCTTCTAACAGAGGTTATAATTTAATTAACCATTGGTATGTGACCAAATGCTTTATGTGATTTTCAAAGTGATACACAAATAATACGTTCTATGGTGGTATAGTGCCTAAGGCGTTTGACTGCTAACCGGTAAGCTGGTGGTTCAAACCCATCAGCCACTCCTCGAAAGGAAGATTGGACACTACTTGTGTAGAGATACTGCCTTAGAAACCCAAGGAGGGGTCGCTATGAGTCAGAATCAACTCGAGGGCAATGAGTTTGGTTTTTGTTTTTGGTTATGCACAGTACAAACACGTGTGTATTTAAACAATGGACAAATATATACACACCAAAGTCAGTCCAGAAAAGCTTCACCAGCGCTACATAGATGATCTACTGTTTCTTGGACCTGTGCTCATTGAAGGACAACAACAATATTCCACAAGCTGTCAGCTTGAAGAATTCGGATGTTGTGGTGGTTACGTTTGTGTGTCAAGTTGGCTGGGCCTGGTTGAGCGGCTGGGCAGCTGGTGGTAGTTATTCCCCATGATGAGAATGACAGTCAACTCCATGGTGGGATCTACCACAAGCAGCTGAGTAGCTGCCTTTGGGATGCGGTCTGCTTCCTGTATATAAGGAGAAGCCTTGGGAATGGTCTCTAGCCTATGGCATGCTTGGACCCTGCGTGTAGCCATGTTGTTGCTCAGCAGTCTGCTATGCTCTGCAGACCTTGGGACTTAACAATGGACTTGAATTAATGGTCTGCCATGTGGTGTGGTAACATTGGGACTGTGCCCTTTTACTTGTCAACCTTGGGGCTTCTCAGCCTCAGCAGCCAGCAGCTGTCTGAGTGAAGAACCACTTCTAGCTCCAGTGGGCCGGGAGCCGGAGGCAGAGCTGGACCCCAAAGTTGAGGGGCTTTCACCCAGCCCCTAGAGCCTGGCATTTTGGACTTGGACTTAAAGCCTCCAAATTGTAAGAATAAACTCGTTTGTTAAGGCCATCCCATTTGTGGTATATTCTTGTCAGAGCAGCACTAGGGAACCAGAACAGATGTTGTCCTTCTATAAAAACCAGCCAGCTGCCGTTAAAGGCTCCAACTTATGGCGGCCTCGTGTGTGGAGAGCAGAGCTGCTCTGTTGTGTTCTCAAGGTTGAGACCTTTCTTAAGTGCGTTCCCAGACCTGTCTTCTCAGGCACGTCTGGGTGAGTGTGAACCACCACACTTCTGGTTTGCGGACCAGCACACTAACAGTTTACACCGCTCTGCGACTCCAAACACAAATTGCTGTGGAGTTGGTTCCAACTCATAGAGACCACACGTGTTTCAGAGTAGAACGTCCACAGGGTTTTCATGGCCATCATCTCGGGGTGGGCTTGGACTTCCAACGATTCAGTTAGTAGCCCAACACTGAACCGTGCTACCCTGGGGCTCCCATCCTTCCTGTCTACTGCTTTCCCTTAAGCCCTGTCTGTATGTCCAGGAAGGCTTCTCTCCACTGCAAATACCCCAGATTAATGGGGTCGAGTCTGGCTGTCCAGTATGAGATACAAGGAAGCAGGACTCTGGGGAGATTGTGAAGCAAATGATAATTGCCCTGTGGAGCAGTGTGGACATTAGGGATACCCACGGCTTCTGAGGTGTGACGGACTGGCTTCCAATGGGCTATTTCCAAGACTAAAGAAATCAGGGTAGTGAGTAGCAAGCACTGAGGACTAAGCTGTGAGTGAGAACAGACCCCAGATCGCCCGGCAGTGCTGAACATTCTGGACCAGGGAAAATGCCCACCTGGGAATGCCATCCAGGGAGCACTGACCCACTCCACCCTCAGCTGTTACTTTGCATGTGAACTTGGATTCTCCCACAGGCAGCACAGAAAACACTGTGTCTCAGCTGTTGGGCTGCTCGTTGGGATCTTCTCATTAAGGCCAAGAGTCGTCCTTAATCACCATGGTGGCTCACGCTGACCTGACTGGAGATGACATTGCTCCTCACAGGAGAGGCCCCAGACTCCCTGTGCAGACACCGGCACTTGTCTGCAGGTGACACGGTGATGGTATCTCTGGGGAGACCAGGTCTAGGGACCCTGGGCCTATAACTACGACCTCAGCTGTCCTTAGCTTGTCATGACCCACACTTCCCTGCACGGAGCTCTGGAGCAGAGACCAGCCAGGTGAGCGCTTTCTCAGGACAAGAGCAGGTCCGGAGGCGTCTCCAACAGGAGAGCAGGACAGGACTGGGGTGGGAGGAACATTTGGTGGGACGGGTGATACCCGTCTCGCTGGGTGCTGCCCCAGTCGTGATCTGGCCGGGCTGAGGGAGTGTGACATGTGCGGGGATGTCTGGACTAGGGCCCGGATCGTGAGCTTCTCTGCAAGGCCCTGTGTCGTAAAGGGCCCGGTGCTGAGAGACAGAGGGACAGCACACCCCTAGACTCTGCGCCAAGCCGTGCAAGGCCAGACACTGATCTCGTTAACAGTGGTCAGCTCGTTGTCTCAGGTCTAAGGGTCTAGATGGACCTGGGGGAGAGAACAGCCTGCTGCACCACGCTGAGCCTGACTCCCGGCAAACCCAGTGTGTCAGAGCAGAGCTGTGCTGATGTTTGGAAATTAGTCACCACGCCTTTCTTTCGATGCACCCCTGGGTAGACTCAAGGAGCTCTCGTGGTGCAGTGCCTAAGGCATTGACTGCTGACCAGGAGGCTGGCGGTTCAAACCCACCAGCCACTCCTCGGAAGGAAGGTTGGGCAATCTACTTCTGCAGTGATATCGCCTTGGAAACCCAAGGAGGGGTCGCTATGAGTCAGGGCCGACTCCATGGCAGTGAGTGAGTGGGTCGACTCCAACCTCCACCATCTTAGTTAGCGGTGAGCATGGTAACCCGCATTTCGCTCCACGCAGGGATTCCCACATCAGGTTTAGGTGTGAGTATAAGTGGGCAGTCAAATGCCTTAGGCCATACACACCACCAGAGCTCCTGACCACAACAACATTTCTAGAAAATTCCCTTGTTCTCATAGCTTAAGAGTGTTCTGCTTGGTACACACATGGTACAAAGTTAAAGCAGAAAAATATGGAACATTTCATGAGTCATGAACTGTAGGGCCAGTATTGACATTGACTCCATGGCAGTGGGTTCGGTTTTTGCTTTCTGAACATAATGAAGTAGGTTGATTAGGAAAGAGGACAGCTCTTTTGTATTCTGGTTGTCTTCTGTGGGTCTTATGTTTATATTCCTGTCCCAATAAATAGCTCCTCAACTTTCAGTTCAGTTGCAAAATATTTTCCTTTTTATGTTCTGTAACACCACTTAATGTGTTATGGAGGTTATAAATGAGCTAAATCTTAGGATTTACCAGAGATATTGTAAATAATGGGAGCTCTGGTAGCATAGTGGCTAAGGCACTTGACTGCTAACCAGAAGGCTGGCGGTTCAAACCCACCAGCCACTCCTCGGAAGGAAGGTTGGGCAATCCTACTTCCGTAGTGATACTGCCTCGGAAACCCAAGGAGGGGTCGCTATGAGTCGGGGCCGACTCGACGGCACATAACAACAACAACAACATTGTAAATAATAATAATATATGGTGGCATAGTGCCTAAAGCACTTGACTGCTAACCAGAAGGCTGGCAGTTCAAACCCAGCAGCCACTCCTTGGAAGGAAGGTTGGGCAATCTACTTCCATAGAGATACTGCCTTGGAAACCCCAGGGGTGGTCGCCATGAATCGGATCCAACTCAACGGCAGTGAGTTTGGTTTTGGTAAGGAAAAAAATAAACATTAAAAATAGATATGGGCTTAAAGACCTGTTGCCCCAAGCAGCAAGAATTGTGGATGGAAAGTTCTGGGAAAACCCAGACTCCAGATGAAATACTGATGTGCAGTGCGGACCAACACGGGGTCAGCATGATTTTGGAAACATGAAGGAGTATCGAGGAAGAGCCCAACTGGGAATAAAGTAAAAGGAGACTTTGATCCACATTCAAACTCCCCTTCCCCATTGATGGAACTCGGATTCCGACCTTGGAGGCTTCCCCAGGGAGCACAGAAAACTCCCCGTCCCACCTGCTGCTATGCTTATCACGGTCTTCTAATTAATGGCCACCAAGAGTTGTCCTTAATCACCACGGGTGGCTCCTGCTGACTTGACTGGACAAATTACTCCCCATTGGAGATGCCCCAGGGTCCCCATGCAGACACTGTCATTGTCCTATGGGGGACATGATAATCACATCGCTAGGAGGAGACCTGGTCCAGAGCCCTGTCTCTGTAACTATGGCCTCAGGTGTCCTGGGCTCACCCTGAATGACCCATCCCTGCGGGAGCTGCAAAGCAAACAGCCAGGTGAGCGCTTCCTGAGGTTGAAGCTCAGGGCAGACGGGCAGAGGGTGCGCAGCCTGGCGGGATGCAGAGCGGCGGCTGGGCGGACCGTCGTGCAGGACAGACGCTGGCCCTCTCCACCATGCACAGCTCTGTTCGTGGCCTGGCTGGGCCGGGGGAGGCCAGGGTGTGTGCCAGGAGTCTCCCAGGGGCTCCCAGCAAACCCTCGTGCTCTAGGCTTTGGTTCTGAGAAAGAGGGAGGCAGTTGCCTTGGAATTTGTGTCCAGCCTTAGACGCCAAAGATGCTGAGGCCTTCGCTTGGGTAAGGACAATCTCAGACCTGACCGATTGCGACGGGCATGTAAATATAAGGGGACAACTTGATGTGCATGTGGGGGAAGACACTGACACCTTCAAACATCTGAAAAGAGCGATTCTCTCTCTTTCTCTCTCTCTCTGTTTCTTTCTCTCTCTCTCTCTCTCACACACACACACACACACACACACACGTCCAAACAGAATCACGGAGCCATAGTCTGCAGCGTGACGGCATGCCTGTCTTTCTTCTGTCAAATCCCACTGCGAGATGGTGCAGACTTCTCAGGACTTCTCAGGTCCCTTTCTCGGTGTTTTTGGGGCTCTGTGTGAGGGGAGAAGGCGCGGCTCTTTCCTTAACTTGAGACAGGCCGGGAGAGGGGACTTTTTTGTCAACTCTAGTTAAGCTCCAGCCTGATGCAATAGTGTCACTGTTGGAATGTCACTGATCTTCCTCCATTTCCACATGTTATGACTCTTCCCACACACCCCTGATGTGGTGGTTATGTTTGTGTGTCAACCTGGCTGGGCCTGGTTGAGTGGCTGGGCAGCTGGTGGTAGTTATTCCCCATGATGAGACTGGCAATCAACTCCATGGTGGGATCTACCACAAGCAGCTGAGTAGCTGCCTTTGGGATGGGGTCTGCTTCCCATATATGAGGACTGGTCTCTAGCTTATGGCACGCTTGGACCCTGTGTGTAGCCGTGTCGTTGCTCAGCAGCCTGCCATGTTGTCTGCAGATCTTGGACTGGCTCTGGACTGGAATTAGTGGCCTAATTGTTGTGTGATAACATCGGGACTGTGCCTTTTTATTTGTTGACCTTCGCCTTGTCAGCCTCAGCAGCCAGCCGCTGTCTGAGTGAACAAAGCCTCCAGCTTCAGTGGGCCGGGAGCAGGAGGCAGAGCTGAACTCCCAGGCAGATGGGCCTTCACCCAGCCCCTAGAGCCTGCCACTTTGAACTCGGACTTCTAGCCTCCAAACTTGTAAGAGAATAAACTCCTGTTTGCTCAAAAACACCCAGTGAGCCAAACACCTGGCTGTAGCAAGTCATCAAAACAAGGAATAACTGAGTCCTGCTGTAACCATCCCTCCTACTTGCATTGAATGAGAACTAACTTGGTTCCAGCCACTGTGCCCAGTAATTAAC